TTATGGTACAAACTAATATGTATAGGGTCGGTCCTGGCGGGCGTACAGATGGTGCCAAATTTAGGGGCAGCCGCAGATCATTTATTATATGTAAAACTTGGACTAATCAGAATAATAATCAAAAGTTTTCTGATGATGATGAAAATTTTCGACCAACAGAATTAGATCAAATTAATTGTATGTGTAATCTTTGTGGCAGTACTCGTATAGAAGAAGGAACTATCTTTATGGACAGCCCAAAATAGCATATGACATTTAGCCATATTTAGAGGATTAAATTCATGTAGGTAATTAATGGTCGCTATTTATCAACCGTAATATTTTTGTTACAAACATTATGCGTTAGTTTCGTACTTAGAGTAAGTGTGTTAGTTACTGTGCCCATTAAGACGAAGTTCAAAGTTTTCGATCAATTACAGGGACCTCACGTTTATTGACTGATTGTTGATCCACTATTATTGTACAGGCGTCATCCCCACCACTAGGGGGGAGGCCGTGGAACCCGGCAAGCGCATACTTTGTTGCCCCGGCGCGCCGAGGCGACTTCTAATTCACAAGCCAACGACTGAACGTTGGGAGCCCACAAAAAGGTTACATTCCCGGGTGTTGGTGAGACAATACTAATGTAACGATAAACCTTTTTTATTTTTGGTTTTTTATTAATGAAACTTTGATGAACATATCGGTGAAATTTTTCTGATTAAAATGATACCAAATAAGACACAATTTGGATCATATTTGTTTATGATTTATAAGAAGCGATAATGAACGAATATGAACTGTTAACACTATCTACATGAATAAATATGATCCAAATTATGTCGTATTTGGTACCACTTTAATCAGAAAAATCTCCCCAATATATTAGTAAAAGTTACATTAACAATGAATCAAAAATAAAGAAGGTTCATCGTTGAATTAGCGTTGTCTCGCGCACCGGGCAACAATGTATGCGCTCGATGGACTCGACGGACGGAGCGGGGGAATGTACGACGATTAGTCAAAGTGTTCAATCGTTAGCGACTGCCCAGAGAGCTGCCGACGAATTAAATGTAACTGGAGCTCCTCCAGTCACACGTATTTTTATTATTGGTCGAAACGGTGCACACAAAATCGGACTGTGTGGTCAGCTAGAATGTAACCATTGGTCGGCGAGAGCGTCGCTGGCGGGTCACGCAGTCGAGTCCAGTGGAAACAGAAGCTTTTCCTCTGTTTTTCAAACGCTGGTCCTTTTCTATGTTCGGAATACTACAAAAGTAAGTTGCCGAGTCAGAAGTGTTTCGCATAGTCCACGATTATTGTCCCGGCGCGGACCCAAGTTTGGAACAATAATCGCAAAACCCTTGTAAACAACTGTTTTTTATATTTTGCTCTGCGGAACATTTTTAAATTATATTTTGATGTCCCTTATATAAATAGGATTTTTTTTACAATTAAGTACTATAACTGATGTACGATATTAATGAAAACAAAAAAATCATTTTTTGAATCAGTTACTGTACAGCATACGAAAATTCAGTTACTGTGTGTCAGTTACTGAATACTTGTATTGATTACTGTGTACTAGTTACTGTGTAAAATTTCCTTTCCGAACATTTTTGAACAATTTATTACTACATTTTTGAATACTTACAATATTATTGTAATAAACAAGACAAATTAATGCGTAGGTACATACACGTCTTATTGTTAGTCGTTAGGTAGTATCTTTAAAAGTAAGGTTAGAAGATCAGATTTAGCTTGTTATTAGAGACTCAAAATAGGTCCAGTTACTGCACACAGTAATAGCATCAAACCAAAATTTTGTTTCGGTTACTGGATTATTATAAATTAACAAAATATTTTCATCAAATCGATTGTATTATACATTTTTCCGTTATCTAAACGAATTTTTCGGACCCGTAGTATATATTGTTTCGGTTTTGGAGAATATTCTTACTATTTGCTGGCATCATTCACACAGTGTCCCTTAAGCTTTTCAATAAGATTTGTGACGAAATGTCACCAAATCGTCTCCGCATAATTTCAATAATTATTATTACTATTTTATAAGTGTTAATAATTCATACTTTCAGTTCAATTATGCTAATTGTTAATTAAATTTCATTTAAAAATTTTAATATATTCATTTGAATGATTATGTAATTTACTGTGCATAAAAATAATGTAAGGGCACAGTAATCAGAGGTGGGCACAGTAACTGACACACTTACCCTATACATACGTGGAAGAAAATATTAATTTTTTATTTCATAAAGTAACTTTTATTATTTTCATAAAATGAAACAAAGATCCTTGAAAATTGAATGGTTTTATTTAAAATGAATATTGTATTATACGTATAAAATTAAACACTGCATATCAAATTCGTAATTGAATAATATGAAATTAATAACGGCGGCGATACTGTTTTTGCACCCAGGCGGCCAACGACCAAGGAACGGCCCTGAATATGTACATAGAAGAAAAAGAGAAGAATTAAAACCATACTTCGTTTCAATATGTAACAACATTGCTCACAGTTCTCGTTAAGCAAATGGATTTCTTCACATTCCCCCGAAAGACTAAAATTAATGTAATATCCGTTAATCAATTTCGGTAGGAAAACCCGACCCTCCCAAATCTACGCGTCTCCTACAGAACTGAAAGTGACAGGATCGATGTCGTTCTGGCTCACGCAGCAATAAAAACGAATCTCACAGACGCAACTGGGCGAGAGTCGCCCTTCGGCATTCTTCGTTCACGGTGCCGATGATTATAAACAAAAGAAAGGGGGCCCAAAGGACTGCACGGACTGCTAGAAAATGGATCTGGGAGGAGAAGCTTCTTGGAACAGGCGTGTATAAATCACGAATCGCGGGCAACCCCTAATTTTCCACCCTGTTCAAACGGCAGCCCCAGCTGTCTTCCTTTCCTACGTTTCTTCCTGCTTCGCTCGTATTTTGATTTTGCACGCAAAACTACCATCACTCCGCCATTCATCATCCGACGCCAAGCAGCCTTCTTTCTTTCTGTTTCCGCTTTTCCAGCCCCACGAGGCTGCCTCGTCGTACCCCCACACTCCCCCCTCCCCCTGCCGGGTGAAATTCGCCTCGAATCACAGGACAATTAACGTCGACGAGCAGCTACGTGATATAAGGTAGATTTAACAGACGATCACCTTCGGGCGTGAATGATAATGGCATATCTTCATGCTCCGTGAGCGGTCAGTGAATGGCCGTGGGAGGAAGACGCAATGATTCATAAGAATCGGTCGGACGACGGAGGAGTAGGAGGGGGGGGGGAAGAAAGGAGCGGATTAATTGATACCGGGAATGGAATTAAAGCAAGAATCCGTGGACAGTGAAAAAGAATATTTCTTGGGCCCTGAGAGAAAACGATTATTTGAGTAAGAATAGAGTTTAGAGGAAATTTAAAGGTAAATTTATAGAAAGTTTTATAGAAGTTAACAGAAGAAAAGAATATAATTTGAACTATACTTTGCAACAGATTGACTGAGATATGTAAAAGTAAAAGTAAATTCTATACAATAAAATAAAATAAAATAAATTCGTTTCTTCCTTTTATTTTATTGTATAACCCTTATAATGTATTGACAGAAGAAAAGACTATAATTTGAACTATACTTAAAACGAACTATACTTTGCAACAGATTAACTGAGATATGTAAAAATAAAAGTAAATTCTATACTATAACATAAAATAAAAATAAATTTTCTTACTTTTATTTTATTGCATAACCCTTATAATGTATTGACATAAGAAAAGAGCTTTGCAACTACAGAAATTTAGATTGATTTCTAAAAGCTAAAAGTGGCAAAACCCTATATAGTGGAGGACAAAAGTATTTGTACATCCTTTATAACAGAACAATTTTTTTCAAAGTGGTCCGAGTGACATAAGTTCTTTTGTAAAGATACGAACATTAGTTTACTAACTGATGTGTAAACAAAAATTTGAAAAAGTTGAAATTGGTCGGAATCGCGAAGAAAATAGTAAAGGTTGCTTCTTACAACTTTTTTATTTGAGGCTGTAATGAAAATTTAATAAATACATATCGAAGATTTATGTTAGTTATATACATGCTGAAAATTTCATGAAAATCGGTTAACGTTGCTGTGTGATACATACGATTAAAAATGTCGAAAATCACAGTTTTTCGCGACTCTCGACCTGCAACTGTCGTAAATCTAACAATTCTTATATCTTTTGATGCCTGTCGCTCGTTTCTGTATCAATCGATTTCAATGAAAGTTTCAGTATGTATATAACTAACATAAATCTTCGATATGTATTTATTAAATTTTCATTACAGCCTCAGATTATAAAGTTATAAAAAACGACCGTTACTATTTTATTCGTGATTCCGACCAATTGCAACTTTTTCAACTTTTTTTACACATCATTTCGTAAACTAATGTTCCTAACTTCCCAAATGAACTCAAATGATTTGGATCAATTTTAAAAAAGTTGCTCCATTTTAAAGGGTGTACGAATACTTTGGTCCCCCACTGTATGTGATTACAACTTACATGAAGTTGTGTAAAATAATCAAGAGGCAAATAATTCTGTAATAAACCTAAACTTGGTTTCGTTATCCTTACGTAAGAAACCACCGAACAATAAATCCTCGTTGAAGCTGATTGTTCCCGGGGGCCTCGAATGGGAAAGAAAATGGAATAGTTTGATATAGAAATTCTTGTTTCGCTGCCATTCTATCTCTCGAATACGCACATCCTTCTCGCTACTAACCTATTTGTTTCTCATTAACGGGCCTACATTAATCTTCTGACTCCTCTAGAGCCCTCGTGAGCGCATGTGAGAGTGTTGTTGTTACTCAAACGCTGCTAAAGCTTGGGAAGGCGATAGGCGTTTTAAGTTTATGCTTTAACTATTTCGTCTATTATGCTCGTCAACCAGTAACGGAATAAAAAAGAAAATATTTAGAAGGTTTTTTTGGGAAATAATTAGCTATAAAAATAGACGGTCAGTGTACTTACAGCCACTTGATGCACTCGCCACCTTGAACAAGCAACAGAAGCAAGATCAACCAAGCCTCGGCGCCGCGTCTCTTCATTATCACCATTTTTCTTCACTTTACATTTTCATCGTGTTTCATGCACAAAGATTATCCTTTTCCACTGATCGTTTAACACGAAGGAAAATTTTTTACACAGATGTCTTATCGTTTCAAGGGCCACTATGCTTTTCTCGATGATCGGTCGATCGTTTTACTAACAGCCGGGGCACCTTCGATACCTCCATATTCAAATGACCGAGAAACGATATTGGTAAACTTCTTGGAAAGAATTCCAGTGTCTAAAAAAAAAATATTGCCCCGTTGCAAACGCTATTGTCGTCGATGAGTTATTTCATTTTACAAAAGTTTACGATAAACCAACGAATAACAAGCTGTAAACACGCCTACGTTAAAGGTATCGGCAAGACCCACGATGAAAATATACAGTGAGAGTCAAAAGTGAGTATACACGTTGCATTATATTTATTTCTCTCAATTTAGAATCTAATATTTGGCATAGATACTCTATTACATTGAGATCTGGTGACTGGAAATTTATTTTAAAATTGTGGAAACAATTTTTAACCACCTTTACTGTATATTTCCGATTACTAAAAGATCCATGAATGCACTTTCAGCTGAATGTGATTTGAAAATATTTAAATATCCAAATTTGTCCATAGTACTATGACGAAAAATTAACTGTCCTACACCAGAGGTTGTCATGCTGCCCTAACCTTTTATGTAATAGTATTATGTATTCACTATGTTTAACGATATTTATAAAATTTTGTAGTTACAGCTCCAAAGTTCTTTTTCTCGAATTTTTTGTTTATATTGTTCAAAGAAGTTTGTTCTAAATCCTTAAGAAAATCATACCTAATTGTATTACTGCCATGATCTTATAGTAGAATGCTATGTACAGTGGGTAAAAAAAGTATTCGTCCACCCTTTAAAAGAGAACTCTTTCAAAATTGGACCAAGTGACTTGAGTTTTTTTGTGAACTTAGAAGAATTAGTGTATAAATAAATAATCCCAGTTCACAAATAAACGACAAATTGTTCTCCTTCAATAAAGAAAACGATATTATCAATTACAAAAACAGAACTATCAAACCCGTTCAAACGACGGAACTCAGATTTCTATTTGTACAATTACTGAAATTACACTTAGTATGCTTTCATTGATAATGTTGCTCCTTAACTTATTAACATTATAAATTTCACTATATTATGCGAAATTGTGCTATATACTATACACTGCATGTGATGACTATAAAACCACCCTCAAATTTTCAATCCTTACGTATTGTGGTTAAAAGAAAAACAAACCACTTTTTTTCTAATAAAATATAATCCATCCTTTACTGAAGAAACATTATTTCTTAACACGATTTCAGATATGGCATACTGTAAAAGAAGTATTTATAAATTCGTCATTTAGAAGAGTTTGCCAGTTCTATTGTCAAAGACTTTGTTAACAAAATGATAACAATTTTGTACGTAAACGTAAGAAATTCGTAAAAAGTAATAGAAACAACATTGGTCCATAAAGTACAGTGGGTGACCAAATTATTGGAGTCACCTGTATAAATTGACGATTTTACAATTTTAACTGTTTTTTTTTATAATTACATAACCTACGTTTAATTGTATAGTGTATTTTCCGTGGAAATCGTTAATTAAACATTATCCAGCGTAAAGACTTCAACATTGTGATTTTATTTCCATATACAGTGGGGGACAAAAGTATTCGTACACCCTTTAAAACGGAACAATGTTTTTTAAATTGGTCCAACTGACTTGAGTTCTTTTATGAAGTTAGGAACATTAGTTTACTAAATGATGTGTAAATAAATTTGAAAAAGTTGCAATTGGTCCGAATCGCGATGAAAATAGTAAAGATTGCTTCTTTCGAATGTTTTATTTGAGATTGTAATGAAAATTTAACAAATAGATTGCTTAGCTTTATGTTAGTTATATGGATGCTGAAAATTTCATCGAAATCGGTTAACGTTGTTATGAGATACACACAGTTAAAAATGTTGCAAAACGCTGTTTTTCGCGACTTTTGACCTACAACTGTAGTACATCTAAAGATTCTGATATCTTTCGATGACGGTTACTCGTTTCTGTATCAACCGATTTCAATAAAAGTTGCAGCATGTATATAACTACCATAAATCTTCAAAATGTATTTATTAAATTTTCATTACAGTCTCGGACAAAAAAGTTTTCAAACACGATATTTACTATTTTCCTCGACATTCTGAAAAGTCGAAAACTTTTCGAAATTTTTCTAACACATCATTTAGTAAACTACTTAATCCTTCTAACTTCACAAAGAAACTCAAGTCACTTGGTCCAATTTTGAAGCAGTTGTTTTGTTTTAAAGGGTGCACGAATACTTGTTTTATCCACTGTAAGTATTACACGAACTTCACCTTTGTAAGGTGTATACTTTGTTTTGACTCTCATTATAAATTCCCGGTCGAGGCGATCCCGACGTGCACCGTCGACTTCTTTAATTGTCGGTGGAACGATAAATCGACTGGCTATAAATCACCCGCGATCTCTCAGTTTCTCCCGACCGTACGTTTAACATTGCAATTAGAGTGAATTTTGATGTGATCCCGGATAAAAAGAAACCACGCAAAAGGATTACGTTTGACGAGCGTCGTTTAAGAAAAAGAAAGGAAACAATGTCTCACAGTTTAACAATTCACTGGCACTTCGCGACTTAGATCGATCGCCAACGGAATGTGTCAACGCGCCCTATTCTGAATGATCTGCGACCGATACAGTTCCCTATCGGGGAAGTTTCTTCGCTACGTCCCGTGCTGCAGGGAGTCTGCGTGGTTACAGGTGTCCGTCGAGCCGTCCTGCAGGACTTGCCGGTCGTCGTGGAGGTGGAATCCTCCTACTACTACTCTAATTCCTCCTACTTCACCTACTCGTTTTTCGTTGGCCGAAGAACCGGCCACAGGGATGGCAATCAGAGTGTGAACACCGACGGACGACAACGCGAGGGCACGGGAATCAACGGTCGCTCCTATCGAAAACCATTCGTAGGGTAGATGTCCCAATTACTGCCACCTTAAGAGTGTACCGTAACTTCATTTAATCATTTTACGTCTCGCTTAACCTAAAAATCGTCTCGGTTTAGAACATAATATTATTTAAGATTTCTTCTATTAAAAAAATCGTTTTATACATTGAATATGAAGAATTAATTAATAATTAATTGAAATCTGCAAACAATCCTCGTGTCTCTATAACTGTCATCTCAAGAATTAAATAAATTCTTATACAGGGTGTCCCACCTAACTCTGCCACCCTCATTTGTCACGGTACAAAAAAATGGTTCATGAGAAAGTTACGTACGAAATTTTCAGCCCAAGGTCATTTCAAGGTCATATTGTGATACATTGTTAGATACGTTTTGATCTCTTCTTTGTAATCGCAAACAAAGAAATAGGGTATTCCGTTTAAAAAAAAAGTTACCATTAGAGAAATCTCTGAAGATATGACCTTGAGATGTCCTTCAATCTCATAGCCTAATTTCTCCCCCTAAAATACACTAGTTTTCTCTCGAACCATTTTTTTGTACCGTGACAAATGAGAGAATAATTAAGGATGGTAGAGTTAGGTGAGACACCCTGTATACTTTCGCAATTCATTTTATATAATAAATATAGATTGAATAGTAAAATTATGGCTCTTTCTTTAATATGATTTCACCATCACTTCCTACTTACGTAGTCCCGTTTTTGACGTTCGAAGTGTTCTTTCGTTTTTCAACATTAATTTTTAAATACCAGGTATATGAGTACATATATTTCTTTGTTTCTATGTGAATCACAGTTGCAATGTAATAGTAAAACTTTGTCTACCCAATTTATTTGTACGTTACGATTTTGTTAAGTAAATTAAATAAAGTTACAGTATTATCACAGGACGTTTTCCCTAGATCATTGGACGGTACTTTTCAGCTCTCGTTCATCCCGAATGCACGTCGCTCTTCGAACAGCAGTGTTCTTTGCAACTTGTATCTTACAGTGGGTAATGAGTAAACTACGGATTTGATGCATTTATAGCCAATAGTTACAGAAACGGTTGAAAAAACAATATTGCCGCCCTTATTTACTTAATATTATTTAATTAAGAATTTGATATGCAGTGTTTACTTTTATAACTTTTAATACTTATCATTCAATAGCAATATCTTCTAATTTTTATTTTCATAAATGAAACAACGATTTTTAAAACATAAATGATTCTATTTAATGTGAATATTTTTTCACATATAAGGACAAAACGAACGTATAGTGTTGAAAATAATGATGTTATGGCTGATAAATAGCAACCATTAATAACCTACACCTTTTGCACTCCCGCCAGGAACGGCCCGGAATGGGACTTTGTGTAATACAATAGACAAAAAAAGTTTCATCAGATGCAATGTGTTTTCTACTTTATTCTGAACCAAATAAGATATTTGAGAGAAGAAAAAAATTCCTACCTTAGCTATTGTCTTACAAAATTGCTTTAAAAAATGTCATTATGTATAAAAACCCGCAGTTTAGTGATGAAATTGTTAGAGCCACAGTACGAAAAATATGTCGCTCTTTTGTATTTACATGAAAATAAAATCTCAATATTAAATGATAATGTTTAATTAACGATTTCTACTAAAAATACACAATACAATTAAACGTAGTTGTATGTAATTACTAGACTGCGGATTTTTATGCAAAATAAAATTTTATACAGTAATTCTTGAAGACAAGAATAAAAGTAGGAATTTCTACCTTCGCTTCAGTATGTTATTATTGAGTTAGGAATAAAATAGATAAGTCGTTATATTCGATGAAAGTTTTGTCTTTCATTGTATTCCGCAGACCTTTAGAGTTTATTAATGTATAAAATCCGCAGTCTAGTAATTATAAAAAAATACAGTTAAAATCGTAAACTCGTCAATTTATACAAGTGGCTCCAATAACTTGGTCACCTACTATACTTATCGAATTTACATTTTATTTATTTACAAAAAAACTATAATATCT